GTGTGGTTTGAGCAAAAATGATCACAGAATCCATCATCAGACCCACACACCAAGAAAAGACCTTGCCCTACATTAAAGTAGAGTGTTAATATAGATTTATGTTTTAAGTTCAAATAATATGTTTAAGGTATGTTTTCTCTTGTAATGACTCCCCACTTTAGCCTGTTTTTTAATTAATTGAGTTAGCAGCCACGCTTGTTATTGTCTTGGGGCTAGTGTGTCACCCCTCACATCCCAAGTCTGGACTGGGTGGTCTTCACATGGTATCTGGCATCTAGCACTGGGCTGGCATATTGCAGGCCTTGGATAAACAGGTGTTAAATGAATAAGTAAATAAATAAGAGTTCGAAATTCAACCCAGCTCTCTCTTCTTGCTCTTTCCTGGCAGCTTTCTTTACTTGGGAGAATATGGCCTATGTCCCAAACCCCCAAATTCTCTTGAGAAATAGATCTATGTTTTCTTTCTCTTTTCTACCAAAGCCATACTCAGAGATTCAGATATGGCTACTCACACATTTAATTTATTGAGCCAAACTAAGGAGCCCACGACAGAAGGAAAAAAACATCATCGTATTCGTCGTAAAAAGAAATTAGATACAGAAATAGATACAGAGTGGATAAAGAGCAGCACTAAGGTAAGTGTGGCAGTGGTATTTTTATTTTGTGCAGGTTTTAAGGCTCAGGTGGGATACTCACACCATCCAGGAGCTGTCAAAACCAATACACAATGTGAATACAAGAAAAATGTGTTCACTATATGGAGGCACATCGGAGGTTATCACAAATTGACTAGGACTTTTACTAGGACTCATTCTCCCTAAAGGGCCTATATTTGGCAGTTAGATGAGGTTGGGGGAGGAGTAAAGAAAATATATGTTATAATATATAGGTCCTTCTCCTAATAAATTTTAAACCCATGTTAAAAAGTAATTACATAGTGAATGGATAAATAAACTGTGGTACATCCAAACAATGGAATATTATTCAGTGATAAAAGAAATGAACTATCAAGCCATAGAAAGACATGGAGGAGCCCTAAATTCATATTACTGTGTTAAGGAAGCCAATCTGAAAAGACTACATACTGTATAATTTCAACTACATACCGCATAATTTTATTTTTGAACATGGTGGGGATTAGGGGCACCAATGTGCTGTGCAGTTGAAAATCAAGTATAACTTAAGTCAGCCCTCTGCATACATGATTCCCAACTGAAAATCAAAAATACAGCTGACCATTGAACAACCTGAGTTTGTACTGCACGGGTCTACTTATATATAGATAAGTGGACCTGCACAATTCAAAGCCATGTTGTTCAAAGGTCAACTGTATGACATCTGGAAAAGGCACAACTATGGGGACAATAAAAAGATCAGTGGTTGCCAGAGGCTAGGGAGGAGACAGGAATGAACAGGTGCAGCACAGAGGAATTTTAGGGCGTGAAAATACTCTGTATGATACTATAAGTGAATGCATGTCATTAGACATTTGTCTAAATCCATAGAAGGTACAACACCAAGAGTAAACCCCAATGTAAACTATAGACTTTGCATGATAATGATGTATCAATGTAGGTTCATTGACTATATGAATATACACTAAGGTGCAGGATGGTAACAATGGTGGAGTGTGTGTGTGATAGGGCGGGAGATATAGGGAATCTCTGTACTTTCTGCTCAATTTTGCTGTGATCTGCTCTAAAAATAAAGCCTTTTTTAAAAAAAAAAATCAATCACATACTAATATTTATGAAGATGGATACTATGAAGTTATAAGTGAAAACTAGTCTCAAAATATTGGTCATTTAGAGTGAGTTAATAATCAGGTCTGAAGCTCAAGAAGGAGACATTGATGTGGGAATTAGAAAGATGTGATAGACTTATGTCTTCTGTAAATATCTATTGAGAATCTACTATGTCAGGCCCTCTTCTGGGTGCTGGAGATACAGGGGTAAACAACACAACGCCCTTGTGCCCATAGAACTTCTGTTTCAGTTGAGGAGACAGCCAATATTAAAAAAAAATACTATTCAGTGCTATGCCAGGTGTTGGTAGGTGCCATGGGGGGGCAGCATAAGGGGCTCTTGAGTTGTTGAGCTGAGAGAGGAGTTGCTCTAATACCTGCAGGGCAATCTCAGAAATGCCCTTTGAGCCTAGGCATGCATGAAATGAGGGAGTGAGTATGCAAATACCAGGTGGAAGGGCATGCTAACCAGAGCAAGCAAGGACAGCTGCGAGAGAGGAATAGGGAATGAGCCTCAGTGCCCAGATCAGGTAGAGCCATGTGGGTCACAGCAAGACTCTGGATTTTATCCTGGAATGAGGTGAAACCATTGGAAAGTCTAGAGCAGGAGACAAACATCACCTGGCTTAGTCTCTAGAAAAATCTTTCTGGCTATTGTGTGGAGAATACATTTAAGGGACAAGAATAAAGGCAGGAAGTCCAGTTGGGAGACAGGGCATAAACTCAGGTGAGAGGTGATGGGCGTCTCTACTAAGTGGTGGCAGTAAAGATGGTGAAAGTAGTCTGATTTGGGATATTTTTTGAAGGGAGAACCAGGAATTGGTTTCCTGTTGAATTGGAAGTGGGATGTGAGAGAGAAAGAAGACAAAGAATGAATCTAAGAATTCTGGCATGAGCAACTCAGTAAATGTTATTTTATCATTTACTAAATTGGAGAACACAAGGAAACTAACAGAAACTAATATTTATGTAACACCATGCAGGTTACAAAGCACTTCCACATATAATGTAAATGTAGCTTTTCCCAACAATTCCTGTGTGATGTGTGCTATTATTATCCTCACTTTACAGTTGAAGAAAGTGAGGCCCAGAAGAACATACATGACTATCTCAGGACACTGAGCCCGTGTTGGCCAAGGCAATGCTCATTCGCTGCTGAAACATATGATTCCCAAAGCTAAGTGGCTTAACAACCAGATGCAAGGTTCTTGCTCATGTCACATCTCATCTGAGTCCCACAGCTCTCTGAGCATCCCTCCTAGAGGCTGGCTCTGAGGGATCTGGGTCCTTTTATCATGGGTCTCCACCATACTGGAGTTCTTTGTGTCCAGCATGGACAGGAAGTGAGCCAAGATCCAGGCTTAAATTTCATTAACCAAAATGAGTCACATGACCTCACCTAGATGCAAGAAGGCTGGGAAATGTACTCCTGCTGTGTGTCCAGCAGAAAATGAAAACACTTTTCACTAAGAGGCAAAACAATCAAACATCTTCGAGTAATGAGGGTAAAAATGTAAGAGCTAGAAACGGATACTGTCAGCCCAGGTGTGGACACTCCTGGCCTCCCTTCATCTCTTGGGCCTACATGTAGAAAGGAAGTCAGTGGGACCAGTCAGAACCTCTACAGACAGAAATTAAAGGAAAGCGGGGGGTTCTTCAGGTTGGAAGCCCCAAGAGAAGCCTTCAGTTTTCACATCTCCCTGGCCTCACCTCCAATCCATTAATGAAACCTTCCTTGGTGTCTTGCTCCAACCAGGCTAGTGAACTCCTGCCCTGTCCTGCCTCGGACCTTTTGGTCCTGAAGTGTCTGTCCCTCAAGTGAACTTAAATGTGTTCCCTGTAGCCAAGAGGAAGGTTCTCACCAAGATCTCTAAGCAGAGGATCCTTCCTAATTTATCATTCACATCAGACTGCCCGAAATGGCTATGAGTAGTGGGACATTTGGTTGTTTTTGTTTTTACAAATGGCAGTAAGTTTGGAGTAGTCTGCTGAGTCAGGCAGAGCGCTGCTTATGTGTGCACCCGGCCAGCCCGGAGCCAGTGGCTCCACAGCGGTCAGGGAGAGTTCATGGACAGAGAGCAGCAGAGCAAGCTCACAGACAGCAGCTGCCTCACAGCACAGGGCCTGCCTGTGAGGCACTGCTTTTTCTCTAGAAGAATTAAAGGAAGGTCCAGAGCTGTAGTATCTTACCTTTTAGCTCTTAGCCTCATACTCTGTTCCCAAGAAAATAGTGATGGGATTCAGTCTTTTAGATATGCCACTTATTATACAGTTACGCACTGTACAACAATGCAACATGTTTGTGGTGATGCTGAGGTAAACAAACATACTGCACAGCCAGTCATATAAAAGCACAGCGCATTCAGTTATGGTAGTAGACTACACCATCTATGGCTGTGTGTGTGCACTCTGAGATGTTTCCACAATGATGCAGTTGCCAAGAGATGCTATTTCTCAGAACGTGTGCCTGTCGTTAAGTGACACATGATGATAATCTCCTAGTGAGAGAAAAATGGAAGGACTTTACCTCTGTGTCAGAGATTTTGCTTTTCCCATGGGGTCCTCACCGTTAGGAAAGTGTCATTATATGACAAGTGAGTTTGACAAGCAAAAAGCATCTTGAGAAATCTGGCTTTCAGGTGGCTTTTGAAAATAAGGCCTAAAATACAAATATTCTCTTCCATGAGCAAGATCTAGAAGCTTTTTACAGACCATCAGCAGCAAACCAACCACAGATATTCTTACAAGGCACTTTTTTAGGTTAGAAGAAGAAGAAAGAAGAAAGAAGAAGAAGAAGAAGGAGAAGGAGAAGGAGAAGGAGAAGGAGAAGGAGAAGGAGAAGGAGAAGGAGAAGGAGAAGGAGAAGGAGAAGGAGAAGGAGAAGGAGAAGGAGAAGGAGAAGGAGAAGGAGAAGGAGAAGGAGAAGGAGAAGGAGAAGGAGAAGGAGAAGGAGAAGGAGAAGGAGAAGGAGAAGGAGAAGGAGAAGGAGAAGGAGAAGGAGAAGGAGAAGGAGAAGGAGAAGGAGAAGGAGAAGGAGAAGGAGAAGGAGAAGGAGAAGGAGAAGGAGAAGGAGAAGGAGAAGGAGAAGGAGAAGGAGAAGGAGAAGGAGAAGGAGAAGGAGAAGGAGAAGGAGAAGGAGAAGGAGAAGGAGAAGGAGAAGGAGAAGGAGAAGGAGAAGGAGAAGGAGAAGGAGAAGGAGAAGGAGAAGGAGAAGGAGGGAGGAGAAGAAGGAGAAGATTAATTTGTAAACTAAATATGAGCGGCGGCTGAGAGCTTAATGGTCAGAGGCAGCCTGTTTGTACTAATGAGCCTGCAGGTTAACAGGAGGGGCTCTCCTCTCACTGGTAACTTTGTGTAAGTCTTTAGCCTCTCTTAAATGGGGACAATGATAGTACCAATCTTGTAGGGTCACTGTGTTGTGGAAGTAAAGTGTTTACCGCAGTGCCAGGTGTGGGGATAGAGTCTGTTACAGGACCTTCTAACCTCCCATAGTGGTTTTCACCCAGATGCTCAGGTTCCTGAGCACTTAGAAGCTGTGCCATAGAGAGAACACCTACAGTGACTCCCCAAATAGCTGCCTTTCTTTCTTCTCTTGTCTTAGATGTTGGCATTCTGCTGCAAGCTTTCTTTATTTTCCTTCTTTATTTTATTTTTATCACCATTTATCCCTCTTCCATCTCCACCCATCCCTCTCACCCCCACAATCACCACACTGTTGTCCTTGTCTAGGGGTTCTTTCTCTATTTTTTTCTTTTTTGCCTCAATCCCTCTACCACCAGCCCCAACACCACCCCCACCGGTGCTGTCTGCCTGCTCTCTATCTATGAGTCTGTCTCTATTTTGTTTGGTAGTTCAGTTTGTTCATTAAATTTCACATTATGAGTGAAACCA